GCACAATTACATTTTAATATGTATATGTTATAGTATATGCTGTTATATTAGCTCCTCCCATATGTCGCTATGGGTAACACTGTTAGCGCGCGAAGCGCACTGGGCTGTCTTACGCGCGTAAGACAGCCCGATGCATGCTTATTCGCTGATCTTTGTTAATTAAGATCTCGGTAACTATTGCGAATCTAACAAAATGGTATAGGACATTTTGACTCAGTTTTACTCCTTCTATTTGTTCACGAGAGATGTTACACCAATTTTGGGACACCCTGTATATATCGTGTTTAACTAATATTTTTTTTTTGACAGAACTTCACGGCGTTTCAGTCTTATAAGTGTTCAACTAATAATTTAAAAAATTTGTATAAAGAAATAAATATAAAAAATCAAAATAAAATGTGTATAATAATGTTTACGTTATTAATTGTATCAAATAATGCATTAGTTAGATATAGAAGACAAACATTAAAGATTAAACTCATTATTGTTTTTAATTTTCGCGCCGTCGTATTCACATTTTCTTTTGCAATCTTTTATTTTCACTTTTACTTTTTTATTTCACAATCTGTTTTTCTCTCTTTCTTCCTTTTTCTCTTTTTCATACTCTTACTTTCTTTCTCTCTTTCTCTCTCTCTCTCTCGCACTCTTTCTCACTCTCTCTTACTCTCTCTCTTACTCTCTCTCACTCTCTCTCATTCTCACTCAGTTTCTATCGCACTGTCTTTCACCCTCTCTCACTCTCTCACGCACTCTCTTTCACACTCTTTCACTCTCTCTCGCACTCTATCTCAATCTCTCCCACTCTCTCTAAGTTCCTCTCGCACTCTTTCTCACTCTCTCTTACTCTCTCTCGCACTCTATAACACTCTCTCACACTCTCTTACTATCTCATTTTTCTTTTTACTCTCTCTGACTCTTTCTTGCACTCTCTCTCACTCTCTCTCGCACTCATTCTCTCACTTTCTCTCAGTCTCTTTCATTCTCTCTCTCAGTCTCTCTCACTCATTCTCGCACTATCTTTTACTCTTTCTCACTCTCTCTCGCACTCTTTCCCACACTCTCTTACTCTCTCTCGCACTCTTTCTCAGCCTCTCTCACTCATTCTCGCACTCTTTCTCACTCTCACACGCACTCTTTCGTACTCTCTCTCGCACTCTCTCTCACTTTCTCTCGCACTCTCTCTCAGTCTCGCACACTCTCTCTCGCACTCTTTCTCACTTTATTGTAGTCTCTCTCTCTCTCTCTAATTCACTCTCTCTTACTCTCTCTCACTCTTTCTCACTCTCTCTCTTACTCTCTCTCGCACTCCTTCTTACTCGTTCTCGCTCTCTCTCGCACTCGTCTTATTCTCTCTCGCACTCTCTCTCACTTTCTTTCGCACTCTTTCTCACTCTCTCTCGCACTATGTCTCACTTTTTTTCATTCTCTTTTGCATTTTCTTTCACTCTCTCTGGCACTCTCTATCCTTCTTTCTCTTTTTCACTCTCGCACTTTTTCTCACATTTTCTCAGTTTTTCTCGCACTCTCTCTAATTCTTTCTCGTACTCTCTTTTACTTTCTCTCACTTTGTCTCACTTTCTCTTACACTCTTTCTCACTTTCTCTCGCACTGTCTTTCACTCTCTCTCACTCTCTCTCGCACTTTCTTTCAATCTTTTTTACTCTCTCTCGCATTTTCTCTCACTCTCTCTCGCACTCTTTCTCACTCTCTCTTGCACTCTTTCTCACTCTCTATCGCACTGTCTCTCACTCTTTCTCACTCTCTCTCGCACTTTCTTTCAGTCTCTTTTACTCTCTCTCGCACTCTCTCTCACTCTCTCTCGCACTTTCTCTCACTCTTTCTCATTTTCTCTCCCACTCTTTCTCACTCTCTTTTGCACTCTTTCTCACTTTCTCTCACTCTCTCGCAGACTCTCTCGCGAGTAGAGAAGTCGTGTCACACATTGCTCCGTAAAAAGTATAAGTTTTTAGTGAGTAAATAATCAGAGAGTGTAATAAAAAGTGGTTTACCTTATAGAGCCATAGAAAGTGAATAATTATGAGTATTATCTAGCCAGGATATGCTCAGTTGTGACTGTGAGAAGGGCATTTCTTGTTCGGGATATCGAAGTCTCGCAAGACGGGTAGACACTTTACGTGGATACAAGGTGCTGACGTGTGTAAGTGGGTCACAAGTGAATGATCGCTTGCGCTGATATTAACGATTCTGGTCGGTAATTATCGGCATGGACGATGAATATGCAGAATACCAAAGTTCGGCATGTAAAAAGGCAATAAAAAACAATGTTGTTAAGTGCAAGTCTTGTGTCAAACTCTTTTACCATCCGGGATGTGTATGTAAACATAGAGTTTATGATAAAAATCGAGAATTGGTGCCATGTGCTAGTCCGTTTGAAGAGTTTTTTGTTGAAAACGGCCAAAAAGCAAATATGAAGAAAGCTCCTACGACAAGGAGCAGCAGGGATAGGACAGGATCTACAGGGTCTATAAGTTCTGCGGGATTGTTTACGGCACCAAGTAGTAAAAATAAATTATCAGGAATGAGTGGATCGACTGGCATTGATATAAAAATAGATTATCTTATAAGAACTGTGAAAGAAATCAAAGATGAAACAACCTGTAAGAAAGAAATTAAAATGATGATTAAAGAGATAGTTCGAGAGAAATTGGGAAACGTTAAACACGAACTGGAAAATCTAAGAAGAATGATACAGGGTAATGCGCGAACCAGCGTCAGGAACGCAAAGAAGCTACAGTGAAGCAGTCAAAGAAATGAAGAGAGAAAATATTATACTTGTGAAGCCAAAATTGGAACAGGAGAGTGAAACCACAAAAAAGTTAATAAAAGAAAAAGTGGATATTAAGAACATGGCGATGGGAATAACAAAATTAAGAAAAGGAAGCAAGGAAACTGTAATAATGGGATGTGAAACTGGAGAGGAAGTAAAAAAGTTGAAGGAAACAGTTCAAGCTAAACTAGGAGAAAATTATAAAGTAGTGGAATCACTACAATCAAAGCCGATATTAAAAATTGTTAATATAGGGATAGAAAAGATAAATTTAAATGATGATGAACTTATATCTACGATAAAAAGGCAGAATAAAATGGATACAATGAATATGCAAATAGTGAAGAAAATAATGAAAGGATAGAAAAATAATAACAACCAGTCAAAAAAACAAAAAAGTGAAGAGGGATCAATAATAGTAAAAACAGATGATGAAACACACGAGTTGATTCTGAAGAAAAGTAAGCTAAATATAGGATGAAAGAAATGCCCTGTATTTAATCATGTTAGTGTTAAAAGATGTGTTAAATATTGGGGTTATTATCACATAGCTAAAAACTGTGTGAGAGACGAGACATGTCACAAATGTGCAGGAAATCACAACTCGATTGACTGCTCAGCGACAAAGAAGAAGTGTGTAAATTGTATGTTCAAAATTCGAACATACAACCTAAAAATAAATGACGAGCACGACGCTCTCAGTATGGAGTGTCCAACATTTAAGAGAGCATTGCAAGAAGAGAAGAGAAGAGCTGGCTGGAAGGACACTAAATAGCAACTACAGGAAGATGTGGAGCTAATGCTATATACAAATGCGCAAAGTCTAACGACGCATAAAGATGAGATACAGCATCAGATTTTGAAGAAAATAAATCCTGCATTCTTAGCACTGTCGGAAACTAGATTGACTGATGAGATTGATGATAGTGAAATGAGCGTTCAGGGTTATAGTACAGTTATAGGGTTAGTATAAGTGTAATACTGAGAACAAAAATACAGAAGGAGTTGTTTTATATATAAGGGACAATGTTAAATATGAAATAGTATTAGCAAAAACCTTAAAATTGAACTGTTGGTGTGTAGCGGTAGAAGTAAAAGACAAATTGTGTAAAAAGGTGATTAGTATATCACTCACTAAGCGCATCGCATGGTGACTTTATGAGATTTCTGGAAGATATAGTAGAGGAGTTAACAATAAAAGAAGAATGTATAGTAATTGGTGACTTTAATATAGATCTTATGTTAGATTCCTTTTATGCGAAGAAGCTGCAAACGACAATGTTGAGCTTAGGTATGAAACAATACGTTAATAAACCGACAAGAATCACGAAAGACAGTCAGACAATCATTGATTTAATCTTCGCTA